ACACTACTTTATGCCCAATGAATCCACCTGCTGTCAAACACAGGAAGTCCAAATCACGCTCTGTTTAAGGAAGAATAGCTGCAATCAAATCCCAACCCAACCAGTTACCAACTGGTTTCAATCACTGGAATCCATAACAAATAAGATCTATTAAAAAAATAAAAAATAAACTCACAACACTGTGGAAAAGTGAAACCATAGGAGGACTAGAGGCGCCTACAGTAAATCAGCAAATACATTAATATCAAAACCCAACACTGTTCATGGACCGAAGTAGAACCAGCACAATGTGAAGACATCTCTTTATCAGACGTACCGTTCCTCAACACAAGCATAAACATCACATCATCAAAAAGTGTGTTTGTGTCTTTAAAGGTGTATTGTTTGCATCTTGATTTGTTTCTTTATTTAACATTATCAAATGTCTAGGTCTGTAGCAGTGGTCACAGGGTGACACTTGTGCTGTTAAACCATAACTATTTCATGCTAACAGCTAATGGCTTCTTGGTGGTTTGACAGGCCCCAGGTGGGCAGTGGCAGTTTGGTTGCTGGCAACCTGCTCTGGGTCTTAGCTCTAAAGACAACAGATCTCCTCATGTTCAAACTGACCAAAATGAGGGCTCCTTGTCTGCCTTGCTCTTCCCGCTGCCTGCTGGTTGTCTTACTTTATGTTGTTTTCTTTTTGTTGTGTACATGATGTTGTGTTTTATGTCTAACCCCTCCCTCGCTAGGACTAAGGTGAAATGGTGAACAAGTAGATCTTAGTTCACACCTTCATGGTTCTGTTCTGGTCCAGGTTCGGCAGAGACCCAAGCCGGTATGTGTTGCGTTTAGGAGACTATCACACTGAGGAGCAGGACGACTTTGAACGCACACTGGTCCCTGAACGCATCGTCATCCACAGAAAGTACCACAGTCAGGCCTGGGAGTACGATATCGCCCTGGTGAGGCTCAAAGGCACGGAGGGGAACTGTGTGTCCTTCAACCCTCACACAGGTGCGGTGTGTTTACCTGAAACAGGACACAGGTGGGACAAGAGACCTGCTGCATGCGTCATCACTGGCTGGGGCATCACAGGTAACATGTTACACCTACACAGGTAACTAACACACCTCCATCACAGGTAACATGTTACACCTACACAGGTAACTAACACACCTCCATCACAGGTAACATGTTACACCTACACAGGTAACTAACACACCTCCATCACAGGTAACATGTTACACCTACACAGGTAACTAACACACTTCCATCACAGGTAACATGTTATACCTACACAGGGAACGATCACACCTCCATCACAGGTAACATGTTACACCTACACAGGTAACTAACACACTTCCATCACAGGTAACATGTTACACCTACACAGGTAACTAACACACTTCCATCACAGGTAACATGTTACACCTACACAGGTAACTAACACACTTCCATCACAGGTAACATCTTACACCTACACAGGTAACTAACACACTTCCATCACAGGTAACATCTTACACCTACACAGGTAACTAACACACTTCCATCACAGGTAACATGTTACACCTACACAGGTAACTAACACACTTCCATCACAGGTAGTTATTACATGTTTTTGTCCTGACATGTGAACACCTTTACATGTTATATGTTTCAGACTCAGAATACTCCAGGATTCTGCTCCACGCCTGGGTTCCTCTGCTTCCTGCCTGGAGGTGTAAAAAGAAATATGGTGATCGTTTCACAGGACGCATGCTGTGTGCAGGGAGCCTGTCAGAGCGCCACCGTGTGGACAGTTGCCAGGGCGACAGTGGGGGTCCTCTGGTTTGTCAGGGGGAGGGAGGCCGCTGGGTACTGACGGGGGTGATCTCATGGGGTCATGGATGTGGAAACCCATCGTTTCCTGGAGTGTACACACGTGTCAGCAGGTTCCTGCGATGGATTGATAAGATAATCAATAAACCCTACAAGAGCTGAAGACAGAGGAAGACACAAAACACTAACAGGGGCGGCTTTAAATAACTAAGACTGAAGATGGTTGAACAGTCAGTATGAACACTAGGGGGCACTAAATTGACAAGGTGATCAACAAACTGTACAAGACCTGAAGAAGAAACACTGAGGGGCACAAACTTTACATAACTGAGGAGTTAATGGTTTCACAACATTGTGATAAGACAATGTGAAAACAAACAATGGGACACCAATATAACAATGTTTGGCGGATTCAATATAAAAACAAAAAACAAAGGTGGAGTGAGAGTGGAACGTGGTTACGGTGCTGCGGTGGACTGGAGATGTAAAGGAGTCTAGTCTCAGAGCTCTAACAGTCTCTCTCTGTATATGAAGCCTGATGCTCATGATTCTGTGCTGGGTCATCTCAACTCTTAATTTTGTTTTCTCACTGCAATAAGCCTGTAAATGTGTATTAACATGTAAATGTGTATGAATGAGTTATCTGATATTTCAAACTGGTTTTGATGAAAAAAGCAGTGGAATAAAAAGGTTTACAAAGCTCATTACATTATTCGGAGAATATGACCTGTGGAACACAGGGACATAGTTATACAATAAGAAAGGGAAACAAAGACACATTAATACAGTGACAAAGTAATACAGTGATACAGTGACATTGATATAGTTACAAAGGGATACAAAAATATAGTGATACAGTGATACAGTCACACAGTGATAAAGTTACAGTTATACAGTCACACAGTGATACAGTCACAATGATAAAGTCAGACAGTGATACAGTACAGTACAGTCACACAGATATACAGTCACACAGTGATACAGTCACAAATATAGAGTCACACAGTGATACAGTCTCACAGCGATACAGTCACAGTATACAGTCACAAGTTGATACAGTACAGTGATACAGTCACAAGTGATACAGTCAGACAGTGATACAGTTACAGTGATACAGTAACACAGTGATACAATCACAGTGATACAGTCACAGAGTGATACAGTCACACAGTTATACAGTCACACAGTGATACAGTACAGTACAGACACAGTGATAGAGTCACACAGTGATACAGTCACACAGTGATACAGTTACAGACACAGTGACAGGTATACAGTCACACAGTGATACAGATATACAGTGATACAGTGATACAGTCACACAGTATACAGTCACACAGTGATACAGTCACAGTGATACAGGTATAAGTCATACAGTCGCACAGTCACACAGTGATACAGTCAGACAGTGATACAGTGACAATGTGATACAGTCACACAGTGATACAGTCATACAGTGATACAGTTATACAGTCACACAGTGATACACTCACACAGTGATACAGTCACACAGTGAAACAGGTATACAGTCACACAGTGATAGAGTCACACAGTTATACAGTCACACAGTTATACAGTCACATAGTGATACAGTCACACAGTGACACAGTATACAGTCACACAGTGATACAGTCACACAGTGAAACAGTGATACAGTCACACGGTGAACAGTCATAACAGTCACACAGTGATACAGTAACACAGATATACAGTCACACAGATATACAGTCACACAGATAAACAGTCACACAGATATACAGTAACACGATACAGTCACACGGATATACAGTCACACAGTTATACAGTCACACAGATAAACAGTCACACAGTGATACAGTCACACAGTGATACAGTAACACAGATATACAGTCACACATTGATACAGTCACACAGATATACAGTCACACAGTGATACAGTCACACTGTTATACAGTCAAACAGTGCTACAGTCACACAGTGATACAGTCACACAGTGATAAAGTCACAGTGATACAGTCAGACAGTGATACAATCACAGTGATACAGTGACAATGTGATACAGTTACAGTGATACAGTGACAATGTGATGCAGTCAGACAGTGATACAGTTAATGATACAGTCACACAGTGATACAGTTAGTGATACAGTCATACAGTGATACAGTTACAGTGATACAGTCACACAGTGATACAGTGACACAGATGTACAGTCACACAGTTATACAGTCACACAGTTATAGAGTCACACAGATATACAGTCACACGGATATACAGTCACACAGTTATACAGTGACACAGATAAACAGTCACACAGTGCTACAGTCACACAGTGATACAGTCACACAGTGATAAAGTCACAGTGATACAGTCAGACAGTGATACAATCACAGTGATACAGTGACAATGTGATACAGTTACAGTGATACGGTGACAATGTGATGCAGTCAGACAGTGATACAGTGACAATGTGATACAGTCACACAGTGATACAGTTACAGTGATACAGTGACAATGTGATACAGTCGGACAGTGATACAGTAACAGTGGTACAGTCACACAGTGATACAGTCACACAGTTATACAGTCGGACAGATATACAGTCACACATTTATACAGTCACACAAATATAGAGTCACACAGATATACAGTCTCACAGCGATACAGTCACACGGATATACAGTCACACAGTTATACAGTCACACAGTGATACAGTCACACAGATATACAGTCACACAGATATACAGTTACAGTGATACAGTAACACAGTGATACAGTCACACAGTGATAGAGTCACAGAGATATACAGTCACACCGTTATACAGTCACACAGTGATACAGTCAAACAGTTATACAGTCACACAGTGATAGAGTCACACAGATATACAGTCACACAGTGATACAGGTATACAGCCACACAGTGAAACAGGTATACAGTCACACAGTGATACAGATATACAGTGATACAGTGATACAGTCACACAGGTATACAGTCACACAGTGATACAGTCAAACAGTGATACAGGTATATAGTCATACAGTCGCACAGTCACACAGTGATACAGTCAGACAGTGATACAGTCACACAGTGATACAGTCACACAGTGATACAGTCATACAGTGATACAGTTATACAGTCACACAGTGATACACTCACACAGTGATACAGTCACACAGTGAAACAGGTATACAGTCACACAGTGATAGAGTCACACAGTTATACAGTCACACAGTTATACAGTCACATAGTGATACAGTCACACAGTGACACAGTCATACAGTCACACAGATATACAGTCACACAGTGAAACAGGTATACAGTCACACGGTGACACAGTCATAAAGTCACACAGATATACAGTCACACAGATATACAGTCACACAGTGATACAGTCACACAGGTATACAGTCACACAGTGATACAGGTAAACAGTCATATAGTGATACAGTCACACAGTGAAACAGGTATACAGTCACACAGTCACATAGTGATACAGTCACACAGTGATACAGGTATACAGTCACACAGTGATACAGTCACACAGTGAAAGAGGTATACAGTCACACAGTGATACAGGTATACAGTCACAGAATGATACAGTCACACAGTGATATAGTTACACAGTGATACAGTCACACAGTGATACAGTCACACAGATATATAGTCACACAATTATACAGTAACACGGATATACAGTCACACAGTTATACAGTCACACTGATACAGTCACACAGTGATACAGTCACACAGTCACACAGTTATACAGTCACACAGTGATACAGTCACACAGTGATACAGTCACACGAATATACAGTCACACAGTTATACAGTCACACTGATATACAGTCACACAGTGATATAGGTATACGGTCACACAGTGATACAGTTACACAGTGATACAGGTATACAGTCACACAGTTATACAGTCACACAGATATACAGTCACACAGATATACAGTCACAAAGTGATACAGTCACACAGTGATACAGTCACACAGTTAAACAGTCACACAGATATACAGTCACACAGTGATACAGTCACACAGATATACAGTCACACAGTGATACAGTCACACATTGATACAGTCACACAGTCACACAGTTATAGAGTCACACAGATATACAGTCACACCGTTATACAGTCACACAGTGATAGAGTCACACAGATATACAGTCACACAGTGATACAGTCACACAGTGATACAGATATACAGTGATACAGTCACACAGCAAAACAGGTATACAGTCACACAGTGATACAGTCAAACAGTGATACAGGTATACAGTCATACAGTCGCACAGTCACACAGTGATACAGTCAGACAGTGATACAGTCACACAGTTATACAGTCACACAGTAATACAGTCACACAGATATACAGTCACACTGTTATACAGTCACACAGTGATACAGTCACACAGTTATAGAGTCACACAGATATACAGTCACACCGTTATACAGTCACACAGTGATACAGTCAAACAGTTATACAGTCACACAGTGATAGAGTCACACAGATATACAGTCACACAGTGATACAGTCACACAGTGATACAGTTATACAGTCACACAGTGATTCACTCACACAGTGATACAGTCACACAGTGATACAGGTATACAGTCACACAGTGATACAGGTATACAGTCACACAGTGATACAGTTACAGTGATTCACTCACACAGTGATACAGTCACACAGTGAAACAGGTATACAGTCACAGAATGATACAGTCACACAGATATATAGTCACACAATTATACAGTAACACGGATATACAGTCACACAGTTATACAGTCACACAGTGATACAGTCACACGGATATACAGTCACACAATTATACAGTCACACGGATATACAGTCACACAGTGATACAGTCACACGAATATACAGTCACACAGTTATACAGTCACACAGTGATATAGGTATACGGTCACACAGTGATACAGTTACACAGTGATACAGGTATACAGTCACACAGTTATACAGTCACACAGATATACAGTCACACAGATATACAGTCACAAAGTGATACAGTCACACAGTGATACAGTCACACAGTTAAACAGTCACACAGTGATACAGTCACACATTGATACAGTCACACAGATATACAGTCACACAGTTATACAGTCGCACAGTGATACAGTCACACTGATATACAGTCACACAGATATACAGTCACACAGTTATACAGTCACACAGTAATACAGTCACACAGATATACAGTCACACAGTTATACAGTCACACAGTTATACAGTCGCACAGTGATAGAGTCACACAGATATACAGTCACACAGTGATACAGTCACACAGTGATACAGGTATACAGTCACACAGTGATACAGTCAAACAGTGATACAGGTATACAGTCACACAGTCGCACAGTCACACAGTGATACAGTCAGACAGTGATACAGTTACAGTGATACAGTCACACAGTGATACAGTTATACAGTCACACAGTGATTCACTCACACAGTGATACAGTCACACAGTGAAACAGGTATACAGTCACACAGTGATACAGGTATACAGTCACACAGTGATACAGTTACAGTGATACAGTCACACAGTGATACAGTTACAGTGATACAGTCACACAGTGATACAGCCACACAGTTATACAGTCAAACAGTGATACAGTCAAACAGTGATACAGGTATACAGTCACACAGTCGCACAGTCACACAGTGATACAGTCACACAGTGATACAGTTACA